TCTCAGGTTTGCTGAAGTTATAGCAATAAAACTATTGTTGGATTTCAATTACCCTGGTGACTCACATCTTAGTAACTCTTTTTTTCTTATTTTGTTAATTTTGTTAACTTACCTTTTCACTCCCCCTCCCTTTATCTTTCGTTTGACTCTCTTAAGAGGGGTAATTCTTCTTGATCTGCTGCGTTTTGTCCACTGATGACATCATCAACTTCCCATCTGACCTCATGTGCACGGAAATTTTAAAATTTTCATCTTCGCTTATCTAATTACATAACTATCACTAATTGTCTTTTGTTATCACCCCAACAACACAACTGTTAGTTAATCTTTTTCAAGAAACTTCTCTCTAACAATATATATATATGTGCGCGTCGGTGGCACAGTGGTTAGGACTCTCGCCGACCATGCATATGGTCCGGGGTTCGAGCCCACGCCGGCGCACACCTGATATCTATGGTCGGCCTGCAAAATTTGGGCTACCGATATCCATGCTGAAAATTCCATACTTGTACCAAAAATACAGTGTCGAATCAAGCTGTAAATCAAAAAAAAATGTCTTGACACTTTAGACATCCTATTAATCTCAACGCCCTATTTAACTATGACGCTCTGACAATATGCTTGCTAATGGAAAAAGGTTTGTTAAAACTGAAATTTCATTAAAACAGAAATTCAGGTTGTACGCAGCTGATGAGAACCGGTGAAATAAAATGGATCCAGATTATTCTGTGCCAATCTTTCTTTGTTTAATTTTATTAGAGGGAATCATTGGATGAAATCGTTTTATTTTCTGTTGCATAACGTTTCGGTTTTCGCTCACTGGGTTAAACTCACAAATTAAGTTTAGAAAATCTACTAAATTATTTTGTTGACCTTATAATTTTACTCTATAATCCCTCCATCTTACCCTCCAGAACTCTTTATCATATCTGAGTGTAAAACATCATAATAGTGCTGTAGAAACTTTTTGTAAACTCCTTCTTGCTATTCACCACACATACGTCAGCTATTCTCATGGAGATGGAAAATTTTCAGCAGTCCTTCAGTTGTGGTCTTCGTCTAATGGCCTTAAACCAAATCCTTCCAAATGTCAGACTGTTAATTTCACTTTCCAATGTATAACAAAGTTAAATGAAGATTTTGGTTTCCATGGCACTTGCAAAATTGATGATAGTGACGATACAGAAATCAAGTCTGAAGTTAAGTATCTTGGATTAATTGCTTCTTCTGACCTGTCATGGTCTTCCCATGTCTTAGCGATTTCTAAAACAATATTTCGTCTGTGATTTTACATTAGGAAGTTAAGGCACTCAGAGACACCTGAACCCCTCCTCCTCTTACAGTTTGTCAACTCGTGTATCTTACCTATTCTGATTTACTGTTTTACCCTTATTCTTTCCTGGATTGCTTAAAAAACACTATGTCATACTTCGCGGAACTCTGAAGACTGTCAGTAGAACGAGTGTCAGCTATCCCATTGGGCCATATCGTTGACATTGTCACTGATAGGCACTTGATGTCATGCAACCAATTTGCTAAAGGAATTTTGTCAGACTCTGAGCATCCACCAAAGCACCCGCAGCTCCAACCTTGTGTCTCCTCAGGTAAAACAAGAAGTCATTTCAGAAGACTTTATGCACATACGTCTAAGTAGGAAAATTCCATATTTCGCTGTACGTACTTTATGTGGTGAAAATAGTGTTAGGCATGAACTAACTAACCTTCTTTGCACTACTAAATAAACCATTTCCTCCACCCTTACAACATCAACCTTTATTGTTATTGTACTTCTTATATTTATAATCCTCTCAATTTTTTGCTTGTTATTTGTTTATTTTTTCATAAGTGTGAACATCATTTAGGCTGTGTGAATAACTGTTAATTTTGTATTTCCCCTCACCATATTATATCAACAGAACATAAGATTCAATAATCTATAATATGCTAAAGTTTCCAGGCTGTTTGAAACAAACTCACTGTTATTATTATTATTAATATTATTATCATTTAATGATCTCAGTTCGTGCTTCGAATATTTTTGACTTTATACCGTAAGCGTGGATAAATTCCTCTGGTTAATTTTGTTTTAATTTTTAATCTTATTTATATTTTGAATAAATCAGATGCAAGGTGTTGTGACAAATGCTGAGAATTCCATTCTGTATTATGAGTACTGTCTTTTTTGGGATAAAGTAGATTATATATGGTTGTTGGTTGTTCAGTACAATTAGAAAACAGCAGAAGCTAAATTAAAAAGAAACGTTTTAGTAGGATGCCGCAAGGTAGGCTGTAATAGACAGTTGTATCGATTTTCTCTTTTGTTTGACTTTTTTCTTTACCTTCCTGTTAAGTACTTTCCTTTACTTTCGTAATTCATTTTAAATCGTCAAATATATATGTATATATATATATATGACAAATGTAGCACAGTTTCCCTTATTAACCTTATGGTAAAACACTAGTAATTTAGCATCTATGTTATCATTGTTAGTTTCATCGATTGTAACAAATTTCTTCTTGTTTAGTTAGTTAGTTAGTTGGGTGGTTTGCTTGTTTGTTTTATCCATGGAAACAGTTGTCCTTTTCAGGTCATCAGTAACCACCTACAACCTTCATACCTTGTCAATGTTGATAGAGTTCTGTATTTATTTTTTCTCTTCGAGAAACACCAATGAAACAGAGATGCGAAGTTATGCGCTCTAATTACTTTAACAGAAGAATCTGAACATTCTTGTTATTCAAATGTCTATGGTCTGTTAACCTGAAAGTGAGTTTAGGTAATCAGCATGAATGAAGTAGGTGTTTTTGTGAATAGAAGGTTGAAATCTGACTTGTTTGTTAACAGCTTGCGTATTGTGAATATTTTGCAGAGGTCAACTAAACTGAGGCTTACTTAACCAATGGTTATTTGCAACTTGTCTTCTGAAGGCATCTGTGTGTTATAATTACAGTTATGTCATGATGTCATCAATTTTATAGTTTCAAGTATTGGTTTTATAGGGATTTTGTTTGATTGCATGGAGGATTTAATCATGAGCTGACATCAGTTAGAGAATCAGTGAAAAACCTACGAGGAGCATTGGATAGCTGTTTCGTCCTAGTTTGGGACTCCTCAGTAGTACGCATCCACCTGGGTTCTAGCCCAGAACCTTCTGGTAATAAGGCGAGCTAGCTCGTAGACCACTGAGCCACTGAGACCCAGTCCAATGGTCCTTCAATTCTAACTTCTGCCAATTCACACACAAGTTGAAGATGAGACAGTAACTCATCGAAGAAGACATTGCGAAATGGTTGCGCTATCTCGTGAGTTGGCAGAAGTTAGAATTCAAGGACCATCGGATGGGGCCCAGTGGCTTAATGGTCTACGAGCCAGCTCGCCTTGTAACCAGAAGGTCCTGGGTTCGAACCTTGGTGAGTGCGTACTGATGAAGAGCCTTTAACTAGGACGAAACAACTGTCCAGTACCCCCAGGTTTTCCAGCGGTTCTCTACCTGATGTCAGCTTATGATACGATTCTCCATGCAATTTTTTATTTCTCATTCTGAGACTAAAATTGGGATATCGAGTTTGAAAGAGGCGTGCGGATCACGAATATTGCTCGACTGTGCCAACGACAATTATACAATAACACAACTGCCTGTTCCTCAACCCACTCCACTTAAACGACAAACACATGATGACGTGAGCAGAAAAGTATGTTTCAAAAAATTACCTTTGGATATGTCAATTAGTCTATAATCATAATCAATAAAACAGTGGGCGCTATTTTAAGCAGGCCAATTCTGATTGGTTACTTTCCAGCCTGACCTTGAAAACCCCAAATCACCAACAAAAGATAGTCCGTCGTTTATCTCTTTACATATCACAATAGTAATTCCAAGTTACTTGTTTGGTAACTCCAAGTAGTACAACCCAAGACACAAACTGCTTCATACTTAATACCTATCAGATGGATGTGCCAGTCTACCAGTGAGTGATAGTGTCCCCATTAAGGTCCACATTCAGTATCCTTGTGTTAAAACGCCATAGATTTAACCACCAGGCCACTGGATTACGAAACTCATTATTTGTTAGATTTATATGTTTCCTAATTGACTATCTATATTATTCGAAGACTTGCAGACGAACGCCAACAAAATGCTTGAAGGAGCAACCAATGAAGACAGCATTCGAAGTGGAAATAGACAAGACGCAGGTGATCAAGATAACCAACAGCCAACAGCTCTAACAATAACCAACAATCGGTGCCAATCACCATTAAACCAGAGAGATTTGACAGAGGTAACCTGCTTCACTTCACTAACTGGGAAGCACGGTTTCAACCACAGGCTAGCGGAACAACGCATGGAGATGGCAAAACCAGCCAAAATCAGAAAACGGAGATCCGCCTTTATCAACCTAAAATCAGTTTGTGAATCTTCTGCACTAGCTCAATACAGAGAACACGATTCGAATTTTAAACACAAATGCGCAGTCAGTTTGGAACTTGGTCAGCGTGTCACGGAAAGCACTTTTAGTAGGTTATTTTCATTCTCTGGTTTCATAATGAAAATGAAATGGCCGGTCGACCGGTTAGAAAGAATTGGCAAGCAGAAACTCTGTCTGGAAACAAACCAACAGGTGAGAGCCAACTGTTCGACAATAATGTTGAATAGAAAGGAAATGAGTCGGATATATGCTGAGGAGGCCAATGGATGACATTGCCGTTAATACAGACGATAGCTCGAGTGGAATCTGAATGCGAAGAGACGAGTGCATCGTCAGTGCTAGGGTGACATGGGGGAAAGTGTGCGAGTTGCGGGGAAGGAGATGACAGATTATAGGTAGTCGTGAAGCTAGCCAGCTGCAAAGGACAGCATCAAGTAGAAGAAAGTGGAGATATGTTACTCAAACCCTATGTCCCACTCGGAACAAAAATGACTAACAATAATAATAATTATTATTTTTGAGAAATACTGTTTACCTGCTATTTATAAGTAGTATAATATAAAATCACTTACCATTCTGTAATACAGCAGCAGATGGGAAGTCAATAGGACCTGAATGATTAATACTTTGAGGATGGATTCCTGAGTTTTCGATTGTTAAATTCGATGTGTTCAGAGGATGATTTCCAACAAAACTGTTCGCTGATAAAGGATACGGTTGTAGATGACTAAATGGCATCACTAATTTAAACAAAAGAAGTAAACAAACCAGCATTAGAAATGAATGATAAACAATTAGGGGATTACAAAATTTGGTTTTTTAGGGATTTTGATTGATTCATTGTTTGTAGGATTTCATCATGGGCTGAGAGTACTGGACAGCTGTTTTGTACTGGTTTGAGGCCCTTCATCGGTACGCAACCATTCGGGTTCGGACCCAGGACCTTGCCTTGTAACCAGAAGGTCCTGGATTCGAACCTCGTTAAGTGCGCACTGTGAAGAGTCCCAAACTAGGACGAAACAGCTGTCCAGTACTTACTAGTTGACTTTTCATTGCTTCTCTAACTGATGTCAGTCAGTTCTTGATGAAATCCAGCAGCCAATTAGGGGTTTTATTCCAAGGAAGTGATAAGGAATATTTGGTCAGACTTGATATTAAAAGCAATATCCCTCACTTCTTCATGTGGAAGAAGAGAATAGGCAAATATCCCAGTGTGCTGAAGACACCTAATTGAAAGTGATACCACATCAGATGTTGGGAGCGTTAGACATTGAAAGTGGAAACAGACCAGGCCTCAACTATATTTATATTTTTTGTTTTATGTCTAGGGTTTTTATCCACAGTGTCCACGCCTAATGTTGTTGTTAGTCAGTTACGACAAGAAAGCAACTGCACAAACATAAAATTAGGCGTCTGAGATGAAAAATACGGGAATATTCCACTACAAAACTAATTCCCAACGCATCCTTTATTGATATACAAAAAATTCTTCACTAAAATTTACCTTAGGGTAACTGAGTAATTAATTCACTGTGTTTTTTTTGCATTCAAACACAGTCTGTGAACACCTTAAAGCCACCTTGATTATTTCACTGTTGTTATTATTCCTTCAGGTTCCTAGCGGAACAAAATGGGATTCATCAACACATCTCTACTGTTTTTTTATTTTCTGCCGTCCACTTCATCTGGGTCCACGAATGCCCATAACCTCTAATCTCCTCCATGTCACCCTTGCACTGATGATCCAATTGGATTCCACTCATGTGATGTTCTGCATTAAGCTCGATCTCATTCGACGGACTCCACATCGCATGTCTGATCAATGCATCTCCATTCTTTCCTACATATTTATTAAGCGACTGGCTCTTGGTGGGTTTGTTCTCAGCCAACCAGAGTTTCTTGTTGTTAATTCTTTCTGACCCGCTGGCCGTTTTTGATCTTCAATATGGAGCCAGCGAAGGGGAAGGGCAGCTGTTGATAAAAGTTTATGAAATATTGGAAATCCTTTTTCGTGACATACTAGCCAAGTTTCTGACCCGTCTACGAGAACTGACTGACTTCACATTTGTGTTGAAAATAAGAATCGTGTTCCTTATGCTGAGTGTAGAAGATTTCCATACTGGTTTCAGGTTGATGAAGGCGTATCTTGCTTCTGGATTCTGGCTGGCGGTCTTTTGCATCTTGATTGGTTCCTCCTGCCTGTGGTTGAAACCGTGCTGCCTAGATAAGTGAAGCACGTAACCTCTGTTAAATCTCTCCCTTTGATGATGATTACTGCTGGTTGTTGCTGTTGTTGGTTGGTTGGTTGGTTGGTTATCCGCATTACCTCCATCTTCTTACTGTAAACACTGATATCAGTATGTCACCTATCTATATTCCTTTTTTGTTGATGTTAAGCGTCTTTATTTGACTGCGTTTTCTTCAATTGGGGATATTTGAATTGTACTCTGTATGTCTGTTTTTGGCATAGAACTTTGCACCGATGTGCACCAGTTCAAGTCGCCACACTCTCTCCTTGTAGCACACAAAGCGAGAGAATAAAGCAGAAGAAATGCAAAATAGAGAGACAGTAGACAGAGATATGAGACAAAAGGAATAGTAATAAGTAATAACAATATAGTTTCATGGGAAATCATAAGTCACAAGGAGTGGATGCATCTGAGATAGCCATTGAGAACGATTTTGAGCCATATCACCAATTGTTTCCAACCATTGTTTTTTTACCGTCCCGAGGACCTCAACTAGTCAGTAAGTCTACACCTTCCTACGTGGCTAGCTTAAACTAACTGTTGTGGATTTCATTGACTGGTGAAGCCATGTTTTGGTTTTACCACCGCTAGCTCTTTTTCAGTCTGACCCTATGTCAGCTAGCATTGCGTGTAGAGGAAGGCGATGAGTAAGCATAGGTGACACATGTCCTAACCATCTCAGTCGATGTAATTTCACGGCCTCATCGATTGATTTCCCCTCCCTTCTTACCTAGCACTCGACTCAAGCCTAACCTCAATATTGCTCACCTTATTATACCACTTCACAGGCAAATGATTAGTGAAACACTCTGAGAAAAATGGCACCATAATTAGCTACCAGGATAGACGACTGGAACGCTGAAAAGAACACTTTGAGGAGCAATTCAGTAGGTATACAGCCACGCTGAACCTGCCGAACATCCAACACTTCCCTGAATAGGACGTAAACACAGGTCCTCCATCCCTAACTGAAGTTACTAAAGCTGTCACTACTCTGAAACGAGACAAAGCAGCAGGACCTGATGGAATGAATCAAGAGGTATTTAAGTACGGTGAGACAGTTTACTGTCTGCATTGACTGAGGTTTTAGGTAGCTTCTGGGGATCAGAGAAAGTCCCGTTGGATTGGTGTAAGTCACTGATTATCTTCATATACAAGAAGGGAGACAAGTCTTTCTGTGATAATCACAGAGGGATTAGCCTGACTTATATAGTATCTAAATTCCTACGCTCAATAATCATGCGTAGACTAGCGGGTCCACGGGAGGCACAAACACGAGAGAACCGAGCAGGCTTTAGACCAAGAAGAGAGTGTACTGGTCATATTTGATTTATATTCTCGAAAAATCTGTTGATGGTCAAATACAGTTTATATTCTTGTTACTGTATCAATGAGGTGTTTTGGATTGTGTGAGTTTTGTTAATTTAGAGTTATCGTCACTCTTATTACCTTTGTTTATCTATTTTTATATACAGATTTACATACACAAACGTTCGTCACGATATACTATCCCCCACTATCTCAGAAAGTACATAGTAATAGGTTAAGTGATTAAAACACACCCTTAGAGATTGTAATAAAGGTCCCGTAACAAGCTTACATCAGTTGGATGGTTACTGAAAACTGGCGAGTACTCAACAGGTGTTTTGTTCTGTGGATGTGGGACTCACCCACAGTGCCCAGCCACCCGCTCTACCACAGATCGAACCAAGAACTTCACAATGAATCCCTACTTCATGAGCGACAACAAGGTGATCGTTGTTTTCAAGTTTTAATGAAAAGTCCTTGTGTGTACTTTCCATCATGTCATGTTGTTAATATACGATCCTCTGAATTTCATTTCAGCGTCTGAATGACCGATTGACTTGCCTGGTAACCTGAAAATCTTGGCGTAGATCCCAGGTACGGTAGTTGGAGTGTGGTTCTGAACAGCTCCGAATGACGGCAAAACAGTCGTTTGGGGCTTCTTGGTCCACAGAAACACTGGGAGACCAGAGAGTGTTTTACTGCTGGTTCTTCCTAATATGGGACTCATCGGAAGTACGCACCCGCCAACAAGGTTTGAACGCAGGACCCTGCGGTTACAAGGCGATCATCTAGACAGTTCAGCCACTGGAACCCAATCTAATTTCCATCCAATGAATTTCAATTTCTGCCATTTCACTACATACCGCGACCACTGATCAACGTCATTGGTGGCGAGTACTTGTCCACTCCACTCCCGAAGGGGTGGACCTCACTGGTCACTATTTTTTTACTAGAAATGCAGGCAAATTTGCCGTGCGGGCAGTAACTAGAGAGCATGGTACTAATTTTCATGAATTTATTCGTAGCTTTATGATTTATTTCAATTTTGATCTTGGGTTGATTTCATGTTATACGTCAAAAAATTAATACATTATGCCAGACAGAAATTCAGTTTGTCCGACAGTTTAAGTAGACAATCATATCAATGCATTTAATTGAATAAATCTCATTCATTCTTACTTCTACCATTTCGTGATTTAGTGCGACCCAACCAATATCCTTGGCGGGACACTCATCCTCACACGTGATATCTGGTTGAACCTCACTGGTCACGACTTCTCGCCAGAACTCAAGGAAACTCCATCCTGTAGCAAGTCACTGGCGAGCATCAGATTATTTTTCTACAGTTTGGTTTGTAAGGGTTAGTTGTGTTTTGACGAGTATATCATGGATTGATTTCAGTTAGAGAACCATTGAAAACCACCACTGGAGTACTGGACAGCTGTTTCATCCTAGTTTGCAAATTATCGGCAGTACACACCCACCATTGGGATACGAACCCAGCACCTCCTTGCGTCGGTGGCACGGCGGTTAAGACGCTCGACGACCATGCACATGGTCCGGGGTTCGAGCCCCGGCCGGCGCACCCCTTTACCTCGCTAAGCCAGTAGTGAGACTGGTAAAGAGGAAAGGTTGGGCATGAGGCTAGCAAACACATCCTGTAAAAATCAACACTGCTAAAGAATCTTCGAGCCACTAGCTTGGAGCCCAATGTTCCACTGGGAACGTGAAGGAAATAAAAACCTTCCGGCTACAAGGCTAGCAAGATAGTACACCATTCAGCCACTGGGACCCGATTTATTGGTCCAACCAGATGTCACGTGTGAGGATGGATGTCTCACCAACGACATTGATTGGGGTCGCGCTAAATCACGTATTGATAGAAGTTAGAACTCATGAGTTCCAGTGGCTGAATGGTATACGAGTTTGCTAGCCTTGTAACCGGAAGGTACTGGGTTCGAATCCCGATGGTGGGTGCGTACTACCGATGATTCCCAAACTAGGCTGAGGAAACAGCTTTCAGTACTCTCTGGTGGGTTTCAATGGTTCTCTAACTGACATCAATCCATGATCAACTCGTAAAAACCTAACTAACCCTTACAAACCAGATTATAGAAAATAAATCTCGCCATGTTTCAGTTAATTGGTAATTCTGTATCAATTCTTTATCAAAACATGCTAAAAGTGATTGGTTTACGTGTGAAGACCAACTTATATTACTAATAACTTATCACTAGTACATAGATTCAACTAGTAAATATTCTCCTTTCTTTAAATTTCTTAATTTCATATTGGTGTAAAAGCAGTATTCTTTCGTGTGATCCTACTGGCTGAATAGTCTACGTGCTTCCCATGTATCCGGAAGGTCTTCGGACCTCACCTCGTTTTGTGCGCTGTTGGATCAGAGGTCGAATGCTAGTCAACCCCTTTCACGTGGTCCAGGGTTCAACTACTAGTCGATACCTTCTCAGGTCTCTCCAAACCTGATAGAAAACCTGGCAAAGAGGGAAGGTTAGGCCTGAGGCTAACAATCCCTTTCTATCAAAGAAAATCCCCACTGCGACTGGATCTTCGCGCCTAGTGCTTGAAGCACTATGTATCACTTGGAACATAAAGGAATAAAGTCAAATAATTGTTTATGAAATAGATAATGTTGAAGAACGAGAAGACAAATAAGATTGAATCGAATCTCTGCAAACCAATATCTGAAAAACAATCTAATGCTCACTAGTGTCTAACCCTGTTCAGATAGATGGTTACCTAGGACCTAGTAGAGAGTCGTCACCTCTCGGGTCGACGAGGTTGAGAGTGAGGACAAATACTCACCACCAGTGAGGTTGCTTACTGGCCACTGTACATCGTTAATTGTCAGGAGCTGAGATTCATTGTCTGGCTACTGGATTGCGTCCCAGTGGCTTAAATGCCTACAAGTTCACTTTGTAACGTGGAAGACTTCGGTTTCGAAAGCCTCTGGTTGATGTGTACTGATGAAGAGTCTAAAACTGTGATAAAAGGGATGGTTGTCCCGTACTGTCAGATTGTCCATGGGTCCTCTAACATATATGTCAACTGATACTGAAATTCTGTAGGCAATTCTTTTCAAAATGATGTCTCTAATAACCTCAATTAGCTAATAATTAACTACTGTCAGCACAAATCTCACAGAAACTATGCATGACACACATTTATGCGAAGGCTAAACAAACTCAAAATCCTGCAGACTAATATCTAGCGTGTTTGACACAAGTTGAAGGTGGATTATATATATATATATATATATATTAGTCCCTTTGATAAATTTGAAAAAGGCATTTAGAAGACAAATTTTGCGAGTTGATATCGTCATTTCGTAGTTCCTTTATAACCGCTTAACAACTAGCAAGATGGTTAACAATAATAAAATAAAGATCATGACAACATTTTCTTGCGAAACTAGAAAATGGGCCTCTGAAGGATGTTATTAGTGAACTCGAATTTTATTGTCGGTACATGGATGATACTTTTTTAATTATGAAAAACGAGAAGGAAGCAAAGAGCATCCTGGATAAATTTAACGAGGTACATACTGCAATAAATTTTACCATCGAGACAGAAAAGGAATCTAGTATTCCATTTTTAGACGTTTTTATGACCAGAAAAGAGGATGGCTCAATAAGAAGAAGTGTTTATAGAAAACCTACATCAACGGGCCAGTACACACATTTTCTCAGTTTTGTGCCCTTGAAATACAAACGCAATTTGATAAAGTGCCTGGTTCACAGAGCAAGAGCGATTTGCTCGGACGAATGTCTTGATGAAGAACTGAATAATATTAAACGGTTGCTGAGTGAAAATGGTTATCCTGAAAAGTTTATTGATAAGAATATGAATTTGAAACCAAAGCAGCCGAAGTTACCAACAGTTCCAAAAAAGGCCTTATTCTTTCAGATGCAGTTCCTTGGGGACAACACTAGCGAGATAATAACACAGCGTATTAGAAATGCGGTAAAACGAGCATTCCCTGCTGCTGAATTACGTTGTATCTTTAAGACTACTTCTCTTCTGCGTTCGGGAGTAAAAGACAAACTGCCTAATTTCGCCTCATCCATGTGTATCTACCAATTTAATTGCTCCTGTGGAGCCAGTTACATAGGCCGCACAATTAGGCGTGTTTCTCGTCGAATTTCCGAACATCACCCTGCGTGGTTAAGCAAAGGCCAAACAAAATCTATCCGTAGCGCTATTTTGGCTCATCTGGTGGATACAGAACATAGGATTGATGTTAATCAAGCTTTCAGAGTTATTTATCGGATACCAACAAATCTCAACTTCGCCTTAAGAGTTCGATTACTAAATATTGCTGAGGCTGTTGGGATCCACATTAAAAAGCCTAATTTGTGCGTCCAAAAGAAGTTAGTTCAGACGCTGTCCCTACCTTGGCCATCTAGGTTTGAATGATTCTCAATTTTCGTGAAAATTTCCTAATTTTAGTTGATATCCTACTCGCTATTATATCTTTATTACTATTATAATTTAAGTATTTTTAGTGAACTGTAATTGCATTGATCTTGCTTTACAAATCGATATTATTTAAAAAAACACTAATATTGTTATTAACTACCAACCTTGAATATTCTGTGTATATAAACATGTATATAATTGTAGAGCCAGAAGAGGAATTTATCGAAAAGAATATTCTTTGCTCGATTATGTTGTGTTTTATAAATAAAAAAAGTACATGCTAATGACCAATAATATTTAGATAGGTCAAGTAGTCAGTTCATAGTAGGCAAAGATTGAAATCTATTGTTTTTTGTACACACAGTTTAGGCTGAATGTGATTAATCCAAAGCGCTTCCATCACCTTCAATAACCAACCTTGAATTAGAGTTATGTGATGAAATAATTGTGAAACAGTCATGAATCAATATTGATCTTGTGACCTGACATTAGCAAGTGTTTTGCAATGGATGATGGCGGATTTCTATTCAGATTATTCGCATTAGGATTTTCTATATGATTTATTAGCCATTTTGGGACATGTTCTTTTCTATCGCCACAGTGGAACATTCTGTTGGTTTCACCCATATAGGTGTCACCGCAGCTGCAGGTGACCTGTATAAATACAGTTTGAATTAGAGTCATTTAATCGTAGGTACAGGGATCGAAAATGTTCGGCAAATGCGAGAAAGAGATGCTGTGTAGAATGTGCGTTTGATAGCTGACCGAAGTATTTGAACTGTCAACTACATAATCTGGTCACCCTTGAATGGGGTAGGTTAATAAAGAAAGCTTTCTTTGGTACAGAAGCTGTCTTTCCAAGATGTGGTCTTTCTTTACTGTGGTAAGTGATAAAGTTTTTTGGATAACTATTAGCTAATAAAACTGAATGTATATGTCCAAATTCATCCATCAATATGTCACTTGTGCATATTTTTCGGGCCCTTGAGAACAAAAATTGCACTAGGGAACGTTTATACTAGATAAGAGCAAAACTGGTGAAATGAAGATATTGTCCACTCTATGTCTGTTTACGAAAAATAGATTGCTTAATTGTTCCATCATATCTTCTGGTCACTGAGATATCCAGGAAACCGAGTTTGTTATTCGATTCGAGTTCGGAAGTCACACTCGGATATTTGGATGAATATTATTAAGTAGGGTAATAAAGTTTTCAATAGATTTACTATTATTACAAATAATGAGAGTATCATCTACATAACGTTGACATATATCATAAATTCTCCAAGCATACCTTGCATTTGTTTCTCCAATTTCGAGATGAATATAACTGAGTTATTGTCATGAACTTTATTTTATTATTGTTAACCATCTTGCTTGTTGTAAAGCGGTTATAAAGGAACTACGAAATGACGATATCAACTCGCAAAATTTGTCTTCTAAATGCCTTATTCAAATATGTATATGGGTATATACCTAACGGCCTTCATAAATCATGTCTATGACCTCATTTGCGTATATTTTGGTGATTAATTTACCTGATTTTTCACTGACAAATGAAAAATACATTTTTCATACTTAATTTGACTGAAATGTCAACTGAATTTTAGATTTTCACCATAATGAACCTTAGAGATTTTGACAATAATAAATACATGGTCAATTAGGCTTTTGTTTGACTAAATACGACCGAGATATATGGTGAAGATTGTTCAGCTAGACATAACATTGAAAAGTTAACCTTTAAAATGATATAGTGTTGTTACTATTAGTTACCATTAGAAATTTAGTGTGACCAACACCATTCAGGTATATATAGCTAAAACAAGACATTAAATATGAAGTACTGTTATTATTATTATCATGATTATTCGTTTTTAAGTATACTGTAGAACATTCAGTCTATACTGCTGGTAAAATAAAACTATGAGTAACACTGAAATCTGAAGGGTATAATTTGTAAGTACTCAAAACCTTTTAAGGAGGTATTTTAGTTGCTTTTGTTTGTGTACTTTCCTTTATCAATCCTTTTTCCTTTTATTTGCCGCTTACGCTTCGAATGAAACTTGGCACGCCACCAGCACATCTACATCTCTCATTGCATTCACTGTCATTATCGTCAGCTAACTGATTCCGTAACTGCCAGTATGATTTCATCAACTCTTCACACGATATCCGCTAGCTTCTGTTTGAAAGCCTGCCTGATGTGTCATTTCACCAAAATGTCTCATATACATTATATATGTCCACGCCATCTCCGTTTCTTTCTGCATATTTCTTGAGTTATGGATCCTTGGTTGGTGGTGGGAACTATCCCAGTGGCCAGCTCATGAATTCCTACTTCTGCTGATTCATGACATAGCGCGACCACTTTGCAATGTTTCCTTCGATGAGTAACTGCCTGACCTTCAACCTGCTGTACCCTACTAGTCACAGCTTCACACTAGAACCCCAGGACAACTGCACGAATAAAGAATAGGACGAAACAGCTGACCAGTACTCTCTATGGTGGTTTTCCAATGGTTCTCTAGCTTATATCAGCTGCAACCAAGTAACAATGTCGCCTGAAAAAAATGTTGTTTGATTTAGTTTCGAAACAAATAACGCTAAGCAGAGAATAATGTTAAACTTTTCGGGGAAAGAAATCAAACAGTTTCGCAGTGGAATGCACAAAAATAACTTACATGAGGCATAAGCAAGTGAGACAAATGCAGATCCAGAATTATTTAAATTATGACTTAAATTTTGATAATGCTGTTGTTGCTGTTGTTGTTGATGATGCTGTTGGTGTTGTTGTCGTGAGGCAAGAGCGGCTGCAGCAATTGTCGCCGCAGCTGTAGCTGCTGAGTCGACTTCACTGGACAGAGCTAGAGTAAAACATGAAAGAAACAACATTGAGTTGAGATGAATCAACAATGACTGCTTTCATTATGTGTGGATAACAATTTTTAAAAACTGTATATGAAGTCAGTTGACCTATGAAACTCATCCATTCGTCTGAAAGAACACTACAATAGCAATTCAGAAGGCATTATTTCAAAACCTTTATCGAAATAATAGAGACGAATTGTAGATTAGGTGGGTGATTTCGATTTAGTTGTGTCTTCTCAGCCGGTCAATTTAATCGCGAAGCTTTCGTTGTTGTTCTAGGTAATATCTTCAGAGCAACGTATTACAACAATCAGCATAAGTGAGGGAAATCTGAAAAAAGCAACCTCCTTCACCTACCTACCGACCTGGGAAACATCTTTCCAAATTGATGAGTACATCAAAGCGAGGATCGATAAAGAAAAGCAGGTTTTAATTTCTCTCAAGTCTGTGTAGAAATCAACACTTAGAACTCACCATGAAAAATAAGATCCGGATTTTCAATTCCTATGTGAAGTCACTTCTACTTACTGTACGGATCAAAGACTTGGCCACAGACTTTCATTAACAGCTTTCTTTGCTCAGTACTTCCCTCAATATCAGATGGTTGGCCAGAAAACATCAGCAACAGGGTGTGATCTCTGACGATGAATGAAACAACCCAGCAAGAACCGATTTTGCAAGAAATATGCAGGAAGAAATGCAGATGGGTCGGTGATACTCTGAGAAAACAAACCATCAAGTGACATCACACGACGGGCCATCGTTAGATTAGAACCTGAATGGGAAGTGGCGAATTGATAGTCAGTGTGGGATGACATGCAGGAAGAGGTCATGTGAAGAGGAGATGAAAGCATGTGGACAGACCTGGAGCCAGGTGCAAACGTTGTCGGAAGACCGAACGCAATGGAGAGGTACGGCCCTATGTTCCCCTAGGAACTAAAGGAAACAATAATAATATAATAATGAATGAAATAATCGTATCTCATGACAACTATTGTCATGAGTGCTCAATTAATTTACACCTTTATTGGTCATTTTTATGGAAACGACGTATTTTTCATTAGTTGGTAAATTTGGTCAATATGCATATGCTTGTTAATCTCTGAATGACCTGAGAAATTCTAGAAATTTACTCAGTGCATTCTCGATGTTTTCTCTACTTGAAATATCCACATTTTCCCAATGAAACTTGTGTTCATGACTGTCTACATGTATTGATATGAAAGAGTGGAAATCGTGCCTTTTCAAAGCTAATTTACGTCCTTGGACTCACACTCGAACTCAACGCACACTATGACCAATGTGATGTTAGCTCTACAACAGCGAATTTAGAATAACAAGTTTATAGAAAACCAACTCACACAGATCAAATACTCAACTGTAACAGCAATAGCCAAATCACTCACAAGAGAGACTGTGTGCAGACATTGTTTAAAAGAGTCACAACACACACTGTAGCACTCCGATGTTGAAGACAATGGAAGAGAAATACCTGCTGACTGTCTTCAGAAAGAATGATTACCCACACACTGTTTCATCGAAAAGTGTCTAAACTCAAGTCGTATTACCAACAAGAAACCATCATCGAAGACCGCTGAAAAATTCGCTCTATTATATATAAAGAATTTCTCTGAAATAACGGCTAGAATACAAAGACCGTTTGAAATAAATAATTGTTTGCATGGGACTAGCAGTAGAATACATGAAGCGCAATTGCTACTATTCAGGGCCTGCTGGATGAATGTATTTGCATCTTCAGTGGAAGTTGAAAGTTTCACTGAAACTCGGACCTATAATTCATTGAATAACAAGCCGAACAGCCTAAACAATACATGATACCCGCCGCAATCAAAGGTGACTTTGATAACTCGATGGTCTAGTAGATAATCCCTTGTGGTTTGAAACTATGGATAGCGGGTTCGAGTTCTGATCAAAACACAATCACCCATGAAGGATGTAAAGACATTTAGCTAACGAGTCCCATCTAGGAAGAAACCCAATTTCTATATCTCTCTGCTAGCTACCGTCAACTCAATTACACAATTAGTCAAATTAGACGGATAAGGTGAAAGTGATCCCTTTAGAAATGATTATCAATCATTATGATCATGATAACTTTATTATTATTGTTATTATGATAAAATGTCCACAAAGTCATCAGCATTTCCGTATTTCTATAAAGCTTCCTGAACAGATGAATGATTAATACGGTTTTTAAGGGAATAATGGTTGTATAAACTGGTAGGTATTACAATAGATGGGTATATGTATATACATAGATACATATGTTCAATACGCATTTTTAGTTTGGAAACGAAGCATTTTCATAAACTTCTTGAAAATTCCATTAATATATATGCGCAAAACCTGGGCACTGTTGTGGTAAGTAATTCTATATTAGTTTGTATATTAGATGCATCACGCACTGAAAAAGTATTATTTACTGGATGACGAGGTTTCGAACAAAGTTTATTGTTCATAATCATGTCATGAATTATAATCATACGACTTCGAAAGTTGAGTTTTATAGTTTTCTTTGTCTTCTTTGTTCATAAAGGGAACCAATTGCTTTAAATTCTTTGTCTTCTATTTGTCGTCGTTGGGGTAGTAGAATTTTCTAGATATCTGGATGGACAGGTGTTGAATCATTCCTGTTACATGTATTTGCAGTTGATTCGATAAACAAAGCTTCTGTTATCAATCTCTTCCTCCACCGTGTGACATTCGATTTTAAAACTGTCATCTTATCCCATCCCATCCTATTGTATGTTTGTGGATAATTGCATGTGACTATTCTCTAGATTTCTTATCTTATTATTAGGGTCAACTTATCTGGATTTTACCACGTTTTTATGTTCGGCTAGTCTGACTCACTGACCTGTTCTACTACTTTGACCTATGTATTTGATCTGACAAATAATAAAAACCAGGGTTTTAGGTAAACTATATTGTTCTGTTTTATTGGCTCCACAGCATTGATCCTTGAACCAACAAAGGATGTTTCTAATTGCGTTTGTGGGTGTGTGGATGCCAGCCACTTTTATTCCTGCTTTGCTAAGAATTCTGCTTAAAATTTCCGGGGTTCTTTGCTTGTATGGAATTACTACTGATGATTTAGATTCTTTATTATTGGTGATGTCATTATCTTGAGCATGTTTGACATGGATGCAGTCACTAATATTACCATTATTATTACAATTATTATTATTATTCCTATTATTACTAACACTACCACTACTATCATAATTATTTTATTTTCACATTTACCCGAATGCTTTCTGACTAATTTATCAGGTAATTATTAAGTTCTAAGGTTCCTATTATATGCCTCACTTCCTGTATTAGATTTTCCTTGGTACTACTTAGTTTTTGTGCTCTGTCACCTAAACATTTCACCAATCCTATTTTTACTGACATAGGTTGGAATGAACGGAAGTCCAGATATCTGTTTGAATGTGTAGTTCTCCTGTAAACACTAGTGTTTAACCCCCTATCTTCTTTCCTTTTTACGCTGCAATCTAAAATTTGAACCTCCCCTTCCAGACTTTTCTATTCATAAGTGAAATGAATTGCCCCCAACTCTGAGCTAAAGTGTTTGAAAAATCTGTCTATATCTTGTATTCTAAGTACAGTGAATGTGTCATTTGCATGCCTCCTGCATAATATTTGGGTGGGTTTGAACGTTTCAATCGCTATGTTTTCCTACCTATCCATGAATATATCTGCCACAACCGGGGATATTGGTGACCACATGGGAAAGAAAAGTTTGGAAGTCATGTGATAATAATTGATGATTTGATTATGAACAACAATAACTTGTGTTCGAAACTGTGTCATCCAGTAAATGTGACACTGTTTCAGTGTATGATACATCTAATAAACAAACTAATATTGAATCACTTGAAAATCCATTTTTTAAACAGAATACGAATAACAAATATCGTCACCCTGGTTACACCTCAATAAGCAGTTGATTTCTCTACTATAGTCATCTCTGAGGTTAACAGGGAGTTGGATAGCTCAATGATGAGATCTCTTACTATATCATTAAATGACGTACATATTCAAACCTCTGGAATGAGGCGAATGAACATTAGTTCCTCCCTAGTTGATAAGCCTCAGTAAGTACAGTATCCAGATTTGGGAGAAACCTATCAATTACCTCCAGGATGCATTAAAAGCCCATTTCTATGACAACTCTCCAAGTTTAACAATAAAGTGTTTGAGGAGAACACTAATTTAAGGACATTTACTAAATTCACACAATGTATATATATATATATATCCATTTACATTCTCTACACTGTCAGTCGCTTCTCCTTACTAATTTTGCATTGATCTTCGTAAATGCACTGAAATTCACACACACATATACAGCTGGATGTCTTGAGGATAGGCAGACGATATTTCCTATATTTCATAGAATTATTAAGTTCTGTTGATAACTTTCTCAAGTCTTCGATTGGCTACTTTGTGTCTACTGTCTTCTTAAGATAGCCATATTGATTCTTGTTTCATTAGAATTATATATAATAATATTATTATTCCCTTGGATTCCAAGTGGAACATAGGGCTGGCTTCAGTAACACATCTCCACTTTCTTGTTTTTGATGCTGTCGTCTTCATCTGGGTAGCTACATGATTGCCTATAATATCACACCACCCCCAACTCTAATGATCTCCTCCATGTCACCCTCGCACCAACGACTTTTTCATCGCCTCCCATTAGGATTCTGCTCGAGCTATGATCTGCACTGAGCACTTTGTCATTCGACAGTTTCCTCACTATATATCTGATCCATCTCCAGTTTCTCCTACATATTTGTCGAGTGATCGACTCTTGTTGGGTTTGTTCCAAGTCGGCCAGAGTTTCTTGCTGCCAATTTTTTATGGCCAATTAATCTTTAGTATGGAGCTAGTGAAGGCATCTGTTGATTTATTACTTGTTATTATTGTCTCCTTTAGTTCTTAGAGGAACATAAAGCTTCAGCCACACCTTTTCATTGCGTTCGGTTCTCTGCTAACGTTTTCATCTGGCTCTATGTTTCACCACATGCTTTCACCTCTTCCTCCTACCAAAACAACCTCCTCCATGTCACCCTAGGACTGACGACTAATTCGTTGCTTCCCATTCGGTTCCACTCGAGTAATGGCATGGCGTGTGATGTTACCCACTTGATGATTTGTTTTCTCAGAGTATGGCCAGCCAATCCACCTACACTTATTCCTGCATATTTCTTGCAAAATCGGTTCCTACTTGGTTCGTTCGTTCATTGCCAGAAATCCCTCCCTTCTGCTGATGTCTTCTGGCCAGTCATCTGATCTTGAACTAAGACACCTTTTAGATGAAGGCCTGTAGTTTGTTCAAAGTAGCCTTTGTGACGCATTGGCCAGGTCTTTGATCCATGCATTAAGCAGAAGTAACTTCAAATTGGAGTTGAAAATCCGGATATTATATTTCATGCAGAGTTCTGAGTGTCGGTCTCTACACAGACTTGAGAGTAATGAGAGCTTGCTTTGCTTTCTCAACCCTCGCTTAGATATCCTCATCATGTTGAGGAATACTTGTCAATAAACCCTTGACACTATTCGTTCTTGATTACAGTATCTTTCACTGTCGTTATTATGCTGCAGAGTAGAACTTTACCTATCCTGTTGAGTAATGTTCATACCTAGACTTCCTTTTACACTGTATAGGTAACAAAGCTTTTAAAGTCTATATACTGTGCAGTCTAAGAAGGCTTACTATATACGAATCTTTCAACAGTACTGTCAATCGCTTTAAGTCGGGAAATGTTTCGTATTTTAAAGCTATGCACGTAATGAATTGCGCACTGACTTACCGAATGCATTTGGTAGTAAACTTTGTTGTTTAACCAAAGCGTTGCTTGAACTGAGTACTTCTTTAGGCAAAGCTCTTTTAGCTTCAACCTACAATAGAAAAAGTAATTAAAGAATTAAGCATGGGTTAGATAAAGTGCAAAGACGATGAAATTTCCAAATTCACGTGATTTTTGAATAAAATAGCTTAGCATATATCTGTAGGCATGTGGTGTGTATAAAGTGTTTCAAATGCCTTAACGGACTGATTACGCTCCACTGTTATTCACAGGTATTTGTTTTGACCTTCTGGTATGATAATTACAGGTATCCAATAGATATGAATCGGATAAACGGTCAACCACTTTTATTCCTGCCTTGTTAAGAATTCTGCGTAAGGTGGTTTTCTTGGTTCCTTCCTTGCATGAAATTACTACTGATGATTTTGATTCATTATTGTTGGTGTTCTCACTATCTTGCGCATTTTCGATATGCATGTCGTCATTATTATTATTATTATCACTATCATCACTATCATTATTTATTTATTTTATTTTTACATTTCCTTACATTTTTCCTGACTAATTTATCCGGGTAATTAATAAGTTTCACAGCTTCCTATATATGCCTTACTTCCTGTCTTAGATTTTCCTTGGTACTACTTAGTTTTTGTGCACTTTTACGCAAACATTTCATCAATCCTATATTCACGGACACAGCATTTGATGGTCGAACTCCAAATATCTGTTTGAATGTGTAGGTTTCCTGTAAACACAAATGTGTTTAACTTCCCATCTTCTTTCCTTTTTACGTTGCAATGTAACATTGGATTTCCCCCTTCCTGACTTTCCAATTCATTAGTGAATTGAATTGCCTCTACCTTCGAGTCGATGTGTTCAAAAAATCTATCTATACCTTGCGTTCTAAGTACAGTCGGGCAATTCAAGACAAAGAAAACTATAAAATTCAGGTTTCAAAGTCGTGTGATTATAATTGATGACATGATTATGAACAATAAACTTTGTTCGAAACCTTGTCATCCAGTAAATAATACTGTTTCACTCCACTGTGTGATATATCTAATAAACAAACTAATATGGAATTACTTACTACCACAGTGCTCAAGGCGAGAAACACATTCATCAGCCTGAAATCAGTCTGGAAATCTTCGTCACTCAGCTTCACCAACAAAATTCGGATTTTCAATACAAACGTAAAGTCAGTCAGTTCTTCTATACGGATCAGAAATTTGGCGGGTCACAAAGAATATTTCCAAAAGGCTGCAGACCTTTATTAAAAACTGTCTTCGCTCAATACTGAAGGTCAGATGGCCGGGAAGAATCACCAACAAGGAATTATGGGAAAAAACAAAGCAAGAACCAATCGCTTAACAAATATGCAGGAGAAAGTGGAGATGGATCGGACACTCGCTGAGGAGACCGCTGGGTGACATCGCGCGCCAAGCCCTCGAGTGGAACCCGAAAGGGAAGCGGCGTGTGGGACGTCCAAGGGTGACATGGAGGAGATCGTGTGAAGAGGAGTTGAAAGAATATGGATTAACATGGATGCAGGCGAAAAGTATAGCAGAAGACAGAAGAAAATGGAGACGTGCAGTTGAAGCCCTATGTTCCACTAGGAACCCAAGGGAGCAATAATAATAATAATACAGTGCTCAAGTTTTACGCATATAATTATTTGCCAATCCCATCAGTCAAGATTTTCATCAGAAATCAGTGCAATAAGGCTGATAAAACTTCCTTAACGAACAAAGTAGTTAGTCAACAATACGTTTCACCACTTCAGTGCTTTATCTTTAAGCTAGATGGCAGTGTATTCCAGTCCTGCAGCACCAGCTGACATTTAGCAGAAGCAAATTTCAGCATGTTATTTTCGAACTGACACTAAGAATATTCAGTAATTGGAAATAAATTTCTTAATTTCTAAAACAGATTATCTTTCTGTTATTTTCTTGCTCACAATATATATTTATACAGAAAAAATAGAGAAGACACGATAATAGGCGATTTTCTTTCGCCAGAAATCATTATCATTAAAAATAAGCCGAATCTTTAGTGTGAGAGTTACTTACTTACTTAAAGCCTAATCGCATAGATGAAGGAATTTGGGAAAAAAGAATAATTCTCCATCATTTTCCAATAATGACAATTCAAACCGACTAATACGCATAAAACAAAACGCGAATTAGGGAGAGATTAATTTTTTTTTTATTGCTTAAAGCCAGCCAGCCAGCCTGCCTAATTAGTATGCATGCAAAAAGGCATATTTCAAAAGACGCTGTTAGTAAAAATAATCTTCCCTATAGGGATTTGCAGCAATAGTCATAATAATGATAATAATAATAATAAAATAATAATAACTTTGCCGATATGCTAATGACTCTGTTTAAAAACAAAAGAGGAAAATGAAGTGAATTTATTCAGTTAAAGCTTGGTGACATTTCATGAAGAAAAGGGGGAGAATTCCACCTGCTTTTCGGAGGTCAACTGGTACAGCTTTGTGGAAGAGTAATTCTGAGGTGGCTTGTTTGAACCTCTCCGTGATTCGGAGTTCCCTTTCATCTTCATTCATTACCAATTATGTTAATGATAGTCTAAATAGATTAAATAGGATAATTTTATTATTAATGAATATAAACCCGTCTATTGAATTGAATTTTTGATTTTCCCGTCGATTGATTGGACCGAAGTGCTCGGTCTCACAAGAGGTGGCTCTCGTGGCCCAAGTGGTCTAGTGGATAACGCTTTGGCGTTTGAAACTATGGGTAGTGGGTTCGAGCCTCAGTGGGAAAATCATCACTCACTGAGAAATGCAGGTACATCCAGCTGACGAGTCCCAAATAGGACGAAATGCGCATCCTAGATTCCACTGCTAGCCACCATCCACCAATTGTATATAAACCCGTCTAGTCTACCAGCTCGGTGTTTTTCTAGCTGATCTCAAGCCTGGCTGAAGAGGGAGGTTTGTAAATTGGTCTGATGACTGTACCAAATGAAACCAGTCAAACTACTGAAGAAACTAAGATAACCAACTAATATCAGAGATTTAACAAAGGTTACTTACTTCGTTTATCTGGGAAACATTGTTTCAACCACAGGCAGGAGGAATGGATGAACATGTAAAATACTCCCAGTCAGAATCGGAAAGAAAAGATACGCGTTCATCAACCTGTAACCAGTTCAGAAGATTTTTGTACTTCACGGCATGAGGAACAAGATTCGAATTTCCAATACAAATATGAAGTCAGTCAGGCCTTTTATACAGGTCAGAAAATTACACTGCGTGTAGCGTAAAGGATTTCCGACAAACTACAGACTTGTATCAGCAGCTGCAGGCCAGAAAGAATTAGCAACAAGAAACTCTGTCTGTCTAGCAAAATCCAACAGGCACGAGTCGATCGCTGAACAAACATTCCACAGACAACGAAGATGTATTCATCAGACACAAGTTGAGGAGTCCTTCGAATGAAATCGCGCTCAACGCCAGCCGTCGCTCGAGTGAAATCCTAATAGAAGGTGACGAGCAGATCGTTGCTTGGAGGGTGATATGGAGGAGATCATCAGCTCAACAATGACTAACTACATGAAAAGGCTGTAATTCCTGGGAGAGGCTGTGATCAGCAGGGTTCAAAAAAGTCACCATGAAAACAGACAGTCATCTCTGACACTGAATGGTGGTGACATTAAATGTCACAAATCAGCCGAACATAGTGAAAAAAATCCCTATTTAGACATCTAGAAAATAGAAAGATTGAGCAGCGAAGAAATATTTACTTTTCAATTAGATCCTCATCTCTAGCTCTACTCTCAAATATACACGTATAGCATTTTTATTACAATACACAACAGTTTACCAATCAAGTGACACTGATATGTTTGTTAACAATAATTAGTCAGTGTCAAAATGTGAATGGGGTGATAATACACGAAGAAAATCAGTACACATTTATGTGTATCTACCAGTTTGACTGCAGCTATGGAGCCAGTTAAATTGGGTGAACAATTAGGCAGGTTCATTGTCGTATTTCCGAACATCATCCAACATGGTTAAGCAAGGGACAAACAAGATCTATTCGTAGCTAGCTCTGTTTTAGCACACCTTGTAGATAGTGAGCATAAGGTTGACGTCAATATTGCATTTAAAATTATCTATCGCATTCCTACTAATCTTAATTTTGCTCTACGAGTTCGTCTTCTACATACCTACAGCTGAAGCAATAGGAATCCTCCTGAAGAAACCAAACCTTTGTGTTCAGAAGAAATTTGTACAGCCACTTGTCTCACGTTGGCCATCGTCACATGAATGTATAAACCGGATTACTTCGCCCCCATTCCCCTGAACCTTTGAAATTATAAAAATTATAATTGTCCAAATTATTTTATTTATTATTTTTTTCTAACCAATTTGTCTTTAATTACGTGTTATCCTTGTAAAATTAATTAATTCTAACCATTTCTACCTTTTAAATGTGTATTAATTTTCTTCGTGTATTATCGACCCATTGACATGTTGACACTGACTAATTATTGATAACAAACACATCAGTGCCACTTGATTGGTAAACTGTTGTGTATTGTAATAAAAATGTTATACGTGTATATTAGAGTAGAGTCATAGTCAGGTGAGGATCTAATTGAAAAGTAAATATTTCTTCGCTCGTTCTCAATCTTTCTGTTTTCTAAATCAACCGAATTTAGAATTCACGAGTCTTTGAATTCCCCTTCCAGTAGTTCAGCCTGGTGAAAAGAATGTCCTTGCTTCTATCTCCTCTGAGTCACGTGTACCTAGAGCCTAAGACTTTTTCAAACTAGGAGTAAACTAGTGGCGGGGACTTAGTGGTTTTGAATGATTCCCTAATCAATAACACTTAGTCATCAATAAGATCTCTGCAGATTACAGCTAGTTGGCTTTACCAAATAAATTATTGGGAACAATTTCTACTTAGAGTTTATTTTATTTTGATTTATATAAGATCACAAAACTGAAATAAACAAGTCATCAGTGAAAATTACAAAATAAAGGCATTCCCATATGTGACTACAAAACCTAAAACTTTCTCGATATATATAGAGCCGAATATATACATTTGATTT